AGTGGAAAGACACAGATAAAATTTGATAGATTAAGATGACTGAAGGCAGAAACGAAGCAGAATAGAGAAAGATTAGGCAAAATTAACAAGACAGTAAGCAACAAATAGCAACATAACTTGGCTTTGATACCAAAAGGTAACGAAAGCAGGAAGGAGGAGAAGAATAGCAGGAAATAACACTAAAACAATAAACAGAATAGTTTAAATATAATAATAAAACAGTTTCAAATAAACATTAATAAAACTTATAATTGTTTACTGGAATGAAGCAAGCAATTCAACATAATTTGAAAACAATTTTCGAAAAATATAAAATTACAAAGAAAGCTATTTTCTTGAGGAAGGAATGCTCTCAAATTTTCTAACTCTGCCTTATTCTTGACTGAAGAGGCTCTTTTATAATCAAAAGAGACTATTATAAAGAGACTACTATTAGCCTTGTGAGTGAATACTGTGAGCCTTGTGAGTGAATGATTCTGACTTGAAAGGAGCATCCAGAGCACATGGGAGTTGTCTGCTGCTTTCGGTGAGTGACTAAAGATGATGGCTGCTTTTTACTGTGCTGAATTTGTCGGTTGGATGAATTATGATGAATGATGAATAGTAATGTTGACTTTTTGATGAATAGTAATGTTGACTTTTTGATGAATAGTAATGTTGACTTTTTCACTATTCATTGCTTGGAGGCATATGACTGAGGAAATCAATATACATATATATATCAGCAGCTTTTCTCAAAAACGAGTATTGATTAAAGTTGATAATTATAGCTATATAGAATCCAATGACTGAATTAAGCATATGGGTTTTGAGCATCTTGGAACTTGGGTCCATATGGATTTTGAGTAGTTGAACCTTCAGAAAAGTTTGAACTTTCTGAACCATCTTCTAAACTGCCGTTATCCGAGTCTAACTTGGCTTGGGCCATGAGGAGACGAGCCATTTGGAGGAGCTCATATTTGGATGACTTGGACTTGGGCTTAACCTTTGATTTCGACTTATCCTTTGACTTGGGCTGGTCAGTACTGGGCTTTGCTGACTTGGATTTAATCTTTGATTTGGGCTTGGAAGAACTGGATCATGGGCTTCCAAGATTGACTGGAGGAAGTTGGCTTCCTTGTGTTAATGGAGCAGTTGGGTTCTGCTGAGCTTTAATCATGGTAGGTGTAGGGGCATGAATGTTGATTGGGAATTCAGTTTGAACAATTTCAACAATACGTGGAATCTTGAAATTATCCCACCATTTAACCTTATGTTGCCGGTAAATAATATCATCAGAAATACCATATTGTCATTTGAATATCCAAGGAATTTGGTATTTGGATATAAAAATAAGCAATTGAGGGAATTTCCTTTGCTGAGGAGTGAATGAGAAAATAGTGGAAAAATAGCTGACTTGTTCCATAATGACCGATGGGAAGATTTCTGAAATGACGCCATTCTAAGTCCACCATCGCAGAAACCAAGAGTGACTGTTTGACTCATTTTGATACAAGAGGACTTTAAACCAAGCAACAATGTAATCATAGTAACTGTATTGAATTGAATGACCAGGTAGATCTCATAGTTGATAAGGAGAACCCCAATCAACTAGAGAAACAAAGTTGTGAATATAAAGTGAATGGTACACAATTTTACTTGTGTAAGTGCGATCATAAATGGGTTTAATCACAATTGACTGATGGTTGAACAAAATGTCTTTATAGAAAGTAATTGTTTTTTCTGGATGGAGAGGAATAAAATGCCATCCAGGAGAGAAATACGATTTAACCAGATCATGAACAGTATGACTCTTTGGGTGACTAGGTTCTGTGAAAAAGAGATTAGTAGTGGTGGATTTAACATAATCAGATCGGGCTGATTTAATAGGATTAGGGGGGTATGGAGTAACTGCTTGACTAGATGAAGCAAAAGGATCAGTAGCCAAAGCAGATGTATAACTAGGTTTAGGAATGTTACCAAGAATTGGTAACGGTTAACCAATTCAACAGGATGGTATTTCGTTACTAACTCCATGGAAGGCGGAACAAAAGGTTGACTAGAAGGGACCAAGGCTTTGGAAGGAGGCCGTAGACGAGGCATCTGTGAAATAGAGGAGATAAATTAGCATCCACTGAGGATATCTAATTGATCAGTATGTTCATGTAAACAGTTAATATAATGAGCAAGTTGTTGTTTCTGAGCTTTAATCTAATGAAATTGTATGTACTAGGCTCTTTTAGTAGGTAAATGGGTTGATTTGAGAAAGGCAAGGCGACGAGCAGTATGTTTTACTAAGGTTTTAAAGTGTTTAATCTGGTGTCTAGGGTAAGGAAAAGAGGGAATTGTCATGATGTAATTCACTATCCACCCTGTAAAAATTCTCGGGTAAGAAAAACAGGAATAGAATTTTGAGAACCAGGGATATATTCAATTTCAAAATCAAAAATACTTAAAATAGATTGCCAAGGAACAAAAATTTGCTTACTAGCAAGATTTTGAACATCTTTTTCTAAAACATATTTAGCAGATTTGCAATTAACACGAAGTAAAAATTTTTCATTTAAAATATCATCTTGAAATTTACTATTACATAAAACAGTAGATTAAATTTCTTATTTAATAGTACTATAATTCTTTTGTGCTTTATTCCAGATACCAGAATGATAACGAACAATTTGTTCAGATGACTGAGGTGTAATTTTCTGGAGAAGGATGCCACCATAACCAATATTAGAGGCATCGGTTTGAATAATTTTGAATGAATTTTCAGTAGGAATACCAAGACAAGGAAGAGACTTGACATATTGTTTGACTTGTTTAACAATAGCAGTATGAGTAGAAGACCAAGGAGAAGGATTGTCTTTTAATCGATCAAATAGAGGTTGACAAGTTTTCCTAAGGTCGTTGTAAAATTCAGCAATATAATTCAGTGATCCTAAAAAACATTGTAACTGAGTTTTATCTAAGATTTCATCAGGAAATTTAGACACAAATTCAATGGAATGACTAATAGGTAAAATAGTATTCTGATGAATATCATAACCTAAAAATCTGACTTTGGTTTGAAACAATTTAATCTTAGGAGCAGAAATGACAAGACCATGACTCTTAATGGTATAAAAGAATGCAGTAAGATGGTTCCAGTGTTCACTAATTGATTTTGAAAAAATAAGAATATCATCTATATAAACTATGGAAAAATGACTAAATGGATTGAAAATATCATTCATTATATTTTGAAATTCACTAGGTGCATTTTTGAGTCCAAAAGGCATAACATTCCATTCATAATGACCAAAAGGTGCAGTGAATGCAGTTTTATATCTATCTTTCGGATGAATTTGTATTGCCAAAAACCACTTTTTAAATCAAATTTACTAAAAATAACAGCTTGACTAAATCTTTTGATTAAGTCTATTTTATTAGGAATAAGATAGCGAATCCATTCTAAAACTTTATTTAATGGTTTATAATTGATAACTAAGCGAGGGACACCTCGTTCTAATTCAGCATTTTTATTAACATAAAAAGTAGGACAAGACCATGGTGATTTGCTAGGACTAATAATGTGATTTTTTAATAGTTCATTGATTTCTTTTTTACACATTTCAACTAATTCATGATTTATTTGAATATGTCGAGATTTAGTAGGAATTTGTCTTTCATTAAAATTTTTAATATATGGTAAAGTGACTACATGTTTTTTTCTACGCCAAAAGGCAGTTGGTAAAGTAAAACAAACAGTTGTTTCTAATTTCAGTTTAAATTCTTCAATTTGAGATATAACAACAAGATCAGTTAAATGTTGTTCAATGCGTTTATAACTGACTTCTTCTTTGAGAGAACGTAATTGACGAGTTAATCGATTAATAGATTAAGAAATAGAATAGTCTTTTAATTGATTCAATTCCAATACTTCAGGTGGTGATAAGAATTTAAAAGTAACTGTTTGACCAAAAGCTTGAGTTGCTATTCCTTCACTAGATGTTGTAAATTGATATAATAAGAATATAAATTGTGTGCCCCTAAAATAACTTTATCAGTCATATTTCTAACTAAAACAAATGAGGTTTTGAAACAGACATTATGTTGACATATATGGACTTTAGGTAATTTATATTTAATACGCATTTTACTTCCATTAGCATAAGTTAATTTTTCACTTGTTTTTTCATAATATTTTGTAGGAAGTAAACTTTCTTGAATATAATTAAGATCAGCACCAGTATCAATGAGAGCAATGATCTTTAATTCAAAATCATCAATAACGGGTTTAACTTTTGAATACTATTTTTGAATATGAAATTTATTGATCAGATTTAATCTTTTATCTTCATGATTATGAGATTGATGTGATCGATTATCAAATAAAAGATTATCAGAATTAGTATGTTCAGATTCATGTTCAGATTCATTAGGCGATTCAGCATTGTTTTCTTAGAAATTCTCTAGACTTTTATTAAGTTTTAATGTAAGAATTTCATCTTCTAAAGCTGTATCTGTATTTTGTAAATTTTTAATAGTTTTTTTAATCTGATTGATTTCATGTTGTAAATCTTGAAGAGTAATATCTTTCCATTCATTCATTTGAGGAGTATTTATATTAGTATCATTACTGTGTGATTATATATATATATATATATATATTTAATCACACTCCCGAAATAGGTGTGTTTGTATAAAATATAGCAATTTGATTTTTATATAAAATATACCATTCCCAATTTATTTATTTATTTATTTATTTTTTATTTTACAAAAAAAAACCCCAACACCAAAAACAAAAAAAAACAAATTTAAAAAAAAAATCAAAATACATTTCTAATCAAAACGAAAGTAGAAGCCTAGGGTTCATCACAAGGCACATAAGAGAGAGAGAGAGAGAGAGAGAGAGAGAGAGAGAGAGACAGAGAGAGAGAGGGAGAAGGAGATGGAGTGCGTTCAATGCTGTTAAAGACAGAGTGTTTCTTACGGTCGCCGACTTCGGAGGCCTCTCTCTCATCACCCCAAACCAACATCACCTCGAAAAGCCCTCCGCCTACGATGTCGGCATCGTCGCCAGCAAGAAACACTCTGAGCCCCTTCCACGGATTTGATTTTCTTTGTGAGTTTCTAACTTATTCAGTTTCCATTTGATTAATTCATTTTCTCCTCTCTCATCTCTCTTTGATTTTGACTTGATTTCGAGGGTTTTGATTTCTAGGGTTTTCATCTCTCATCTCTCTTTGATTTTGATTTGATTTTGAATCAATTTCATCATTCGATTAATTCGGTATATATTGTTGCTTGCAAATCTAATTTCATGTGAAAGATGGTTAATTGGTTACTCGTTTTTCTTCTTCTTTAATTTTTCTTCTCTTTTTTTCGGTGCTGTGTCAGATCTCTTTCAGACTTGCCTAAGCCTTTGAGAAACATAACAGCTCATGTTAAGAAATAAGAACAAATGGAATTGTTTTCTACTCGTACCAGGAGCTTAGGACATCTAACAATTCAAAGTTTGTACCTAAAATGCACTTTGTGTTGACTCTTTTAAATCAAATTAGTGGTCCTTAATTTTAATCTGAAACGCAGTCATATTCTAAGGATTTTAGAATGAATTTTATGAACTTCGCACATTAGTGATGATCATATGTGTTATTTATTTTATTTTATTTATTTATTTATTTATTTATTTGGGTGGAAAGGAAAATAAATGATGATTATTTGTATCTTGTCGCTAATGATCTTAGTTTTCCTTCATAATTTATTGGTAAACTAGATAAAATCCTTATAATTAAGAGATTTAAGTTCAGACAACAACCCTCCAACACCTAAGCTTTTGAGTTGTGCTCTTGATCTCTGCTAACCATGTCCCAGAAGGCCTTTGTCTCACCCCAACAAACTTGCTTTTGTTGTTGGTGTTGTTGTTGCCACCTCTATTTCTGAATGTGTTGCTACTCTGTTTGGCACCTGAGAAACCGTCACTTTGCTGCTTTTGGAATTGAAGTTCCATTATAGAAATTATTAAGTTAAAAGTGTGTGTATGTGTTTGCTGAATGAAGAGAAGAGAATAAAAGAAGCGAAAGAGGGGAGAGAGATAATGAAAAATCAACAAAACAAATAAAAAAATCGATTAACTTGAGCATAACTTTAAACATATGACTGTGACATCAGGCTCATCTTTAGTTGTTTTACTGCCAATTGAAAATCGAAATCTATTACATTGTGATAGAACTTGCCATGACTTTAACTCAATGGTTCCCCCCTGTAGCAAAATCCTAGCTCCGCCATACCTGGTGTATTCTTGCTTAGGTTTTCAATGTTGGTTTTCTGAATTCACTACATGTACGTAGGTTGCTTATATTTCAATTTTGCAATTGTAGGGATGTCATTGAAGCTAGGGATTTTGAATACAAGGCATGGGCTCATGTTCAAACCTTCTCTTGATGAGCAAACTCTGGAATTGCAGGTTAAAACATCAATTGGAGTTGAGGCCATCTCCCAGCAAAGGCTAGCCTCTGCAGAAGCTAAGATTACTGACTTGAGACAGAAATTGGAAGCTTCTAAAAGGTTTATTTCATATTTCAATGACGTATTTGAAATGTCGTTATGATAGCCTTGTAGAAGGCAGTTGTCATAATCTGCTTTTATTAAATTAAATTTGAAATGCATGTGAATTCTTTATAACATCATTTCTATGTGGATTCTTCCACTCTTGAGCTAGTTCAATCAAAGGTGTGCTAGGTCTATGGTTCTTTAGCGGAACTATAATTGATTTGTTCAGTTATTTTATGGTACAATTTGATATGTCAATTGTTTCATCTATATTACCCTCTTGGTACTAACTTAAGTTCATATGGATGCTGAGCATTGGCATTGTTTAGTTCATTTTATATGGGTGCTACACATGATTGCAATCCTTTATTTTGTTTTTTTTTTTTTTTTGTTCTCTCCGGCATGATATATTTATTTATTTATAAGAAACTTGAAGACATTTTTTTATCTATGCTATTTCAGGGAAAAGTCCGGGCTTTCAGGTATCCATAAATCCAAACATGAGGAAAATGAAGCCTACATATCTGAAATAGAGGTTAGATTCCTGCTCAGTTATATGGGAGATCATTTTGTCTTCAATGTGTTTGTGAAGTTGGCCTGAGGTTATTGGTATTGTTTCTCTTCATGTAATTTTAAATAAGGCCTGAGATTATCAGTTGTTTCTCTTCAGACCATTGGTCAGGCATATGATGATATGCAAGCTCAAAACCAGCAGCTCCTGTAGCAAATTACAGAGAGAGATGATTATAACATCAAGGTTATTATTTGTACCACCGTTGCTCACCGTTTATTCAAGTTCCCAAAATGGTTTTACTTGCTTTCATATAGCATGCATTTGAGACCTCCTTGATTTTGTAGGTGATTATTTATTTGTTTATATAGAAGTTAGAGATTTTATAGAAGTTT